GTAGTAGTAGTAGTAGTAGTAGTAGTAGTAGCAGTAGTAGTCGTAGTAGCAGTAGCAGTAGCAGTTAGCAGTAGTAGTAGTAATAGTAGTAGTAGTATTAGTAGTCGTAGTAGTAGTAGTAGTAGTAGTAGTAGTAGTAGTGGTAGTCGTAGTAGTAGTAGTAGTAGTCGTAGTAGAAACATGTTACAGTTAGTATTATCACTATTATTGTTGTTGTTGTTGTGGTTAGTGTTGTTATTAGTAATAGTAGTAGTAGTAGTAGTCGTCGTCGTCGTCGTCGTCGTCGTCGTCGTCGTCGTCGTCGGGCAGTAGTACTAGTAGTAGTACTAGTAGTAGTAGTAGTAGTAGTAGTAGTAGTAGTAGTAGTAGTAGTAGTAGTAGTAGTAGTAGTAGTAGTAGTAGTAGTAGTAGTAGTAGTAGTAGTAGTAGTAGTAGTAGTAGTAGTAGTAGTAGTAGTAGTAGTAGTAGTAGTAGTAGTAGTAGTAGTAGTAGTAGTAGTAGTAGTAGTAGTAGTAGTAGTAGTAGTAGTAGTAGTAGTAGTAGTAGTAGTAGTAGTAGTAGTAGTAGTAGTAGTAGTAGTAGTAGTAGTAGTAGTAGTAGTAGTAGTAGTGGTAGTAGTAGTAGTAGTAGTAGTAGTAGTAGTAGTAGTAGTATTAGTTGTAGTAGTCGGCTTTGCCGTCGTCGTCGTCGTCGTCGTCTGCGTCGGCGTCGGCGTCGGGGGAGGAGGAGGAGGAGCCGCTGGGGGCAGGAGGAGGAGACGGAGGAAGCTGGAGGAGGCGGACGCGGGACCAGCCTGATCTGGATCAGCGTCAGGACCGTGGGTCCGCCAGGGTGGCTGGGGTGTCCCGCTCAGGGAAGCTCTGCTCCGCCTACCGAGGCTTTCGGGGCCGCATCGCCAGAACGTCGGACGGGGTAGTGGCGCTCGCTCAGGCCGAGCCAGAGTACGTGCGAGTAAGGTGATGACGATGATGGTGATGGTGATGATGATGATGATGATGATGATGATGATGATGATGATGACGCTGATGACGATGATGGTGATGATGATCATGATCATGATCGTGACCATGAACATGCTGAGGATGACGGTGAGTGTGATGAGGGTGATTTCGATGATGACGATGACAATGATGACGACGATGATTTTGATCACGATGCTGATTATGATTATGACCATGGTTCTGATGGCGATGATGACGATGATTCTTCTGACACGGTGATGTGTTGATGATTGTGAGGAGGTTGATGATGATGAGTTGGAGTTTGAGCTGAGAGCTGGGGGGGATCAAGTTCTCTTCATTCCCATTCTGGTCGCGCGCTGGGGGCGATTTTTGGTTCGAGCTCGCCCAGGCTGACCAGGACAGGGGCGGTGGCCAAAGCGCCCCGTTGACCCTGCCGCCAGCTGCGCGTTGCATGCCGGCATGGGAGGCGTGGGGCCGGACAGCCACGGGGAAGAGAGAAGGGGATAGGGAGGATTAGAAGGAAAAAGAAGAGGAGGCGGCGGCGGAGGATGAGGTGGAGGAGGAGGAGGAGGAGGAGGAGGAGGAGGAGAAGGAGGAGGAGGAGAAAGAAGACCAAGCTTCCCGGAGTAGCTGAGCTGCTGGGGAATGTCCAGTTGCATCACTTGTTCTTCTGTGGTGTTTTTTTCGTGTTGCTTCTCTTCGCCTTGTGTGGCTCAGTATTCATTTGTCACCTCAGGGTTGCAGGTCTCATGACGAACATCTGGTAGAGTCTAATTCATATTGCCGTTGTCATCGTTTTGTACAGCATGCGTCTGATGAGTTTGCATGGAAGCAGAGAGATGTCAACGTTTTGGCAGCTTTAATGCAGAGATCAGCCGAAGCACGCGTGACAGTCACTTGTCGGGAGTTCTACGACATGTGCCGCATCGAAGCAGAATATGGCCAAGGCCACATCATTGACACAGCCACGCAAAGTATACTTAGCGGGTGACGTCAATTACATCAAGCAATTACATAAAGCAGCGATTCGACCAACTGAACACTCACGTGGACCCACGCGAAGCGTTTCTCGCGACACATACAGCAGACACAATGATGGCGGCGCTGTGAAGCGTGCACGGCAGGGAGGTTTATCGTACATTGTAAACCAAGACGATGAACCGAACACCGACTGACTTCGAGCGGCCTGCCACGGAGGAAACTAGGCTGTCAAGGTATAACCGCCGATATCTCCGAGTATGGGGCGAGGCGTAATATCTTGCTCGCGAGGTAGGTCAACTGGACGCGTGTATTGTCGTGGCTGTCGGTCACTGCCACCTGGCCACACAGGAGAGCCCCGAAAGGGAAGGCCCCAACAGAGGCCCAAGCAAGGGAGCATGATCTACCTTCCGAGCTCTCCGACCCAAGAGGCCTCCAGGATGCTCCAAGAAGCCCCAAAAGAAGCCCCCCCAGATGCCCCGAGAGGCGCCCAAGAGATTCTCAGGACGCCCCAAGAAGCCCCCCGAAGGCGATCGAGAGCCTCCAAGAAGCCTTCAAGGCTGCCTCCAGGAAGCTCCTGGGCTCTGGGGAGCGTCTGATCCCGACCTTCCCGAACACCTCCGGCTGTCTCCTCATCACGGGGGTCGTCTCCCAGGATCGGCGGCACAGGCCGTAAGGCCTTCTCAACCTATGGTCGGAGCGTTCGCTTCGGCCCCCACGTCAGCTTGCAAGAGCTCCCCGTCTGCCGCTGTCCGTGTCGACGCGGCGGCGACCCCGGCGCGCATTGACGAAGGTTTGATGCCGCTAGTGGCTCGGAGTCGGCCGATATCGAACGACCTGCGCTCTCGGATGTCGCGATCGTTCGAGGTCGACGGGTCCCTGCGGTGTCACAAACCAGCGCAAAAGTCGCCGCGCCACGAACCTGCCGTACCCCGAACAGTTCGGCTATCCAGGGCTGCTCGCGATCCGCTTCGAGCCGATACGATCCCCAAACTTCGATTCCCATCTCGATCCGACCCTCTGCGGCATGAGCCTGTTGCCTCTCCATCCTGCAGGGCCCGAGCCCCGATCCGCGATCCAGAGCGATCCGATCAGTCCGACTCCGCGACGGTTCGGGCGCGGTCTGTTCGGTCCCCGATCCGGATCTGATTTTTCGCGATTCGATCCAGCCCAGGCCTGCCTGCCGTACCCTGAGTCTCCGACCAGTGGCGCCCCGCCTTCGCCTCGCCAGGCCTGGAGGGGTACCCCTCTGCTCTTCGTGTTTGGGCTCTTCACCTTGGAATGCTCTTCGCTTTGAGCTTGACGCCTTTGACCTTCGACGATGCACGCTCTTGTGGCCATGTTTCGACTGGTTCCCTGAGCAGGCCGACCAACGACACCCGGCCTTCCCCCCCCCCGCACGAGTCGACGGCGCGCCGAAGGGGGAAGTGAGAGGGGGCATGCCTTCTCAGAAGGCGCCGGTGCTTCGGATGTGGCGTAGAAGACTGGTTAGAAGGACCGAGGCGGCCTTCTGAACCTTCTCCTCTCTAGGCTTGGAGGGGTACCCCTCCCGTGTTCGTATTTGGGCTCTGCACTTTGGAGCTTGGAATGCTCTTGGTTTTGAGCACGGCACCCTGGACTCGGCGTCACCCCAACATACTTATACTTTGTGTGCGTCGCCCCCAGGCCCAGGGGCGACTCGCGCACCGAGAAATCTTACAGTGTACGCGTCGTGGCGTGCGCTTTTTGGCCACACCGCTCGGGAAACGATATACTACAAGATGGGCATACTATATGTTCGGGTCGGACGCGCGCCTCCAAGGCGGACATATAGTATTAGTATGTCTCTGTGCGTCCCATGGACCTTCGGCGCATGGGTTCGTGCTCTTGACCCACGCTGTTGTGGCCACGCCATGCTTCGACGGCATGCTGAGCAGGCCGACTAACGTCACCACGGCACCACTCCCAGGAGAATATGGGAAAATATGGGAAGTGGGGGGGGGTAGACGAAAATCCAGAAAATATGGAAAATATAGGAAGTATTGGTATTTGTGTGTATTCATTCGTGTGTCCCTGGGCCCCCTCACTCTCGGCGGTACGCCCAGGGGGGAAGGCAGAGGGGTGGGCCTTCTCAGAAGGCCCAGAGTGCCTCCAGCCTTCCGAGAAGGTTTCCCAGCCTCCGAAGCCGCACGATGGCTTTAGCGGCTTCCCAGAAGGCCGGAGGGCCTCTGCGAAGCCCCGCCGCCTTTGAGAAGGCCTGCCCCTTCTCGCTCTACCCCTCGGCGAGCCGAACACTGACCGGCCTTGCGGGCTAATGTATAATATCTTTTTGTTGTTCTTCCTGAGAGAGAATACCAAGCAACCATGTGAGACACACACACACATCAATGTACACATGTAAATCTGAAAACTCCATGTGTAGAGGATTCCATTCGCGTTCCTTCTGAGGATGATTACAATGGGATTTCGTGTGAGGAGGACTGCATTCGGATTTGTGTTGAGGAGGGTTACATTTGGATTCCTTCTGCGGAGAGTTCTAGTAATCTTGCTTTTGTGGAGGATTTTTTCCTGTTTCTTCAGTGGAGGATTGCAATCTGACTCCTCCTGTGGAGGATTAGAACCAGATTCCTTGTGTTGACGATTACGATCCGCTGCTTAGGGAGGATTCCACTACATTGGGATTCCTTTTGTAGAGGATCACAGCGGGATTTTTGTTGTGCAGGATTGCACCAAGATTCCCGTGACGCAAGATTGCGATTGGATTCTTTTGTGAAGATCATTCGAAGATTCCAAGTGGAATCCCCTCGATGGGGACTCCCAGAATCTCCCGTTCTCGGTATTTGTACATATTTTTTTTTCCCCCTGGGCCCCTTGATTCGTTCTCCCCCCCTCGCACGAGGCTGCTGCGCGTCGGAGCTGGGTCACCCGTTGACCGAGTTCGAATCCGGCCACGTGGCGAGCCTGCCCAGGCGGGGCCTTGCGGCTCCTCTGGCCCTGCCTTTCTTCTCGGCGGTTGCCGGGCGGCGAGCGGTGGCCGCTGGTGGGCTTCCTCGTGCCCCGTTCGTCCGTCCGCTTCCCCTCTCCCGGCCACCCCTCCCTCTCAGCATCTTTTAACCCATCCCTGCCCCCATCGCCGCCCCCACCCCGATCCCCACCATCCCACCACTGGGGTATGCCCCTTGAAGCTCGAAGGGAGCAGCTTATAATTATCCCATTCCAGGAGGGAGCAAATCGGCCAGTGGGGCCCAGGCCACGCCAGTAGGGATAGGGGTCTGTTAAGCGATGCTCAATTCCTCCACCCAGGTTCGACGCTTCGGAGGCTTTCGGATGCTCTAGTAGGCTCCTGGAGGTTTTCCTGCATCGGCATGCGTTCCAGCAGCTGAGCTTTGCCGAGAGCGGTTTGGGGGTGCTCGAGTCGTCCCGAACGGCCGCCGAAAGGCCCCAGTGCCACCGTCCACGTGCGCCCCCCCGCACCCATTTCGGCATACCCCTCACACGTTTCGTGACCCCATAGGGAGCTCCACCGAAGGCCCCAACACCACCGTCCACATGCCTCCCGCACTTATTTCGGCATGCGTCCCCCACGTCCATTTCGGCACACGCCTCACACGTATCGTGGCCCCATAGGGAGCTCCACCGAAGGCCACAGTGCCACCGTCCATATGTGTCTCCCGCACTCATTTCGGCACACCCTTTACACGTTACGTGGCCCCGTAATGGGGGCTCCACCGAAGGCCCCAGTACTTCCCTCCACATGCGTCCTCCGCATTCCTTTCGGCACACCGTTCACATGTTTCGTGGCCCCATAGGGAGCGCCACCGAAGGCTCCAGCGCCTCCGTTCACATGCGTCCCCCGCGCCTATTTCGGCACACCCCTCACATGTTTCGTGGCCCCACAAAGGGAGTTCCACCGAAGGCCCCAGTGCCACCGTCCACGTGCGTCGCCCGTACCCTTTTCGGCACACCCCTGACACGTTTCGTGGCCCCATAGGGAGCTCCACCGAAGGCCCAGTGCCACCGTCTACATGCTTTCCCCACATCAATTTCGGAACCCCCTTCACACGTTTCGTGGCCCCATAGGGAACTCCTCCGAAAGCCCCAGTGCCCCCGTTCGCATGTGTCCGCCGCACCTATTTCGGCACAGACCTCACAGGGTTCGTGGCCCTATAGCCCATAGGGAGTGCCAACGACGAAGATATTCACAATTGCTGTATTCACAAGTGCGTATGGTTGGGTCCTTCGCCAGGCTAATTGTCCTAACTGTGGGATTCTTGTGCTCCACTCGCGTGTTGTAGCGCCTGTTTTTCCGTCGGTCTATTGGACCTGGCGGCGGCCTTGCCGCCTAGCTGCCTGCGCCCCGGTTCGGGGTGTGGGCCGGCTTGGCCGCGGCCCACTTCTCTTTTTGGCGTGCTCCCCAGGCTTCGTCCTGGGGTCGTTCGCTTCAGTCTATTGCGGTGCCATCCTGCCTTACTTTGGCCAGTTTCTGTAACCCCCTTACCTCCTCAGGCGGGAGGGCTTCTGGTTGCCTGGCTGTTTGCCTTTCGGGGTTCTCTCGGGGGCTCGGCCGGGCGGTGCCTTTCGCCGCGGGACACTGGCGTTCTTGCGCCCCAGTGGTGCGCGTGGCAATTTCCGCGGGCGTTGCTCGTGTTCGGCGCCTTTTTTCCGTCTGGCAGCTTGTCCGGCGGCGGCGGCCTTGACGCCTTGCTGCTTGCGCCTTGGCATGGGGCGCGGCCTGGCATGGCCGCGGCCTGTTTAATTTTTGTTTTCTGCGTCGTACTCGGGGTGCGCGTCCGCACCCGGGGCTGCAGTTCGCGTCTTTTGCTGGCTTTACCGTTGGCGGGTTCGCTTTGCTCGTCCTTTTTTTCTTTGTCGCCCTTGGTCAGTGTGGTGCGATCTATGTGGTGACGCGTGCAGTCTCTATTGCGCCTAGGTGGTTGCTCATCTTTCCGTTTTGCTTTTGCCTGCCTTCATGGTGGCTCTTCGCGGCTTTGGCTGCGTTGGGGTTGCTGTTTTAGCGCTGGCGCATGCGCTGCACGCTGGCCATGGTTGCGCCTGTCCACAACCCACGGCCATGCTCGTACTTGTCCATCAGCTATGGGTGCCGCCACGTGAAGTGGTTGCTGCTTGCGGTCGCCCGCGTTCAGCCCTGTCTTTGGTGCTGTTGTGGTGCTGCTGCGGCCTGTAGGTCTAGTGCTCCGTGCATGTTATTGCTCTTGCCGGTTCGAAGGGTAGCACCCTACCCGTCGTTTCGCTAGGCCATAGCTCAGCGTTGCCCTACCAATCGGCGGGTCTGGCAGCTTTAAGGTTGTATTTTGTACTGACGTTTCAGGTTCTTGAGTCGAGCTATCGCGCTCCTCGGTCGGGTTCTGGCCGCTGCATGCTTCTTGGGCCATCATCTGTCGGTGATTCGTGGCCCTATTTTGCACCAGACCGCTCGCGGTTCAGTTCGCCTTGTGTCGAGTTCGTTTTGCGTTATCCTCGGGTTCTCGCCGCTGCACGATTTTGGGGCTGCAGTCCCATCACTACACCACCTATCCTCTGCAATCTACAGCATGCGACGCCTCGCAGTGCTGTTCTTTCGGCTAACTCTGCCTGACATTATCAATTTCATCAGCTGCCCGCGCCTGAGGTTCCTTTGCGCCGCCGACTTAACAGTGTGTGTGTGTGTGTGTGTGTGTGCGTGCCGCCTCTGGCCCGCCTTTCCGCTCACCGATTGGCCTCCCCTCTCGGGGGGGCTTGCCTTGGCCGCTCCTTCAAGGACCTCCCTCTCGGGCGCCGCCGTTTCCGGCGTGCCGCCCAGCTTCGCCGGCTTTCGCGGCTTCTTCAGCCTGCGACTTTTGCGGCCTGCCGCCTGCTGCAGCTCTTCCTATCGCTCCTTGGTTTCTCCTTGTCGGTCCATTCTGTTTACCCGCTCCCCCCGCCTTCCAGTCCTGGTTGGCTTATTGCACCCTCCACCTCAGCGTGGTCTCGTCTGCTCCCCGCCTCTCCTCGCCATCCGTGTCCGGATGGATATGGCTGCCAGCGGTTGCGAGGCCGTAGTTGGTCTCTGAGTGCTGTGCTTCGCTGTCTTCCAACCTTCTACGCCTTACAGCAGCGCGCAGGGCCGCGATGCCAAAAAGTACGTGCGTGGGCAACCCTATCCCTCCCTCCATCCGCCACCCCTTCCGCTACCCAGCTGCTGGACCTGTCCAGGGGTGCGCTGTGACCGAACTCTCGAGGCGTAGCCCCAGGAGGCCCCGGAGGGTCGAATAACGTTTTGGGAGCCTCGTCCCTCGAACATCGACCCTCGAACTTCCCCGTCCCCCTCCTCTTTCCTTCCCTCCCTCCTCCCTGCCCTGCCAGGGCTGCCCGTGGTCCGTGTGGATCTGGTCCGATCCTCAAGTTTCGATTCCGGCCTCGATCCGATCCGATCCTAAACGGGCTCATCCTGGTCCGACTCTTCGAAGATTCGGGCGCGATCCGATCGGCTTCCAATCCAGAGCCGATCTCGCGATTTGATCCGCATCAGGCTTGCCCGTGGAGCTCCAACCTCTGGACGCCGTGCGCGGGTTGCAGGCTGGGCGGAGGTGGGGTAGCGCCCACTGGGCCTCACGGTGCCTGCTCATCGGACTGCGAGTCGACAGGCGAAAGTGAGAATTCATGACAGCGTTTTTGGTACAGGTAGGGAGGAACTGTGCGGATACTGTTGCTGTCGGCCAGCTAAGCAAGTTGGCGAAACAGGAGCACAGACGAATACGGATTGCGTAAGGATAGGGAGGACAAGGAGGAGGAGGAGGAGGGAAAGGAGGAGGAGGAGGAGGTGGAGGAGGAGGAGGAATACGAGGAAGAAGTGGAAGAGGAGGAGGACGCGAAGGAGGGATAATACTCATAATCGAATGATATGAATCAGAAGAACAGTACTAATTCGAATACTATCAATAAGAAGGTTAATAATACTAGTAAGAAGAACAACCATACAACTAAACTAGGAAGAGGTTCAGGAGGAGGAGGAGGAAGAGGAGCAAACAACAACAACGTAATAAAAGTCAACGGGAATGATCATACGACTACGAATGCGTATAATACAATGCATAACAATAGTGTTAATGGGTTGGCTTATATTTGTAAGAATAATGTTTCACATGAAGTCGTAATACTTATTAGTTCCGTATAATTCATATTATGAAAAGAATGAAACAAATACGAAACATTGTGTTATGACGACGCGTAGTCATGATACTACTAATCATCATCTCGCAACTATTTATCACTATCGCAATAACAATTGAAGTCGTAGTAGTAGTAGTAGTAGTAGTAGTAGTAGTAGTAGTAGTAGTAGTAGTATTTGTAGTAGTAGTAGCAGTAGTAGTAGTAGTAGTAGTAGTGGTCGTAGTAGTGGTAGTAGTAGTAGTAGTAGTAGTAGTAGTAGTAGTAGTAGTCGTAGTAGTCGTAGTAGCAGTAGTAGCAGTAGTAGCAGTAGTAGCAGTAGCAGTAGTCGTAGTAGTAGTGGTAGTAGTAGTGGTAGTAGTAGAAGTAGTAGTAGAAGTAGTAGTAGTAGTAGTAGTAGTAGTAGTCGTAGTAGTAGCCGTAGTAGTAGTAGTAGTAGTAGTAGTAGTAGTAGTAGTAGTAGTAGTAGTAACAGTAACAGTAGTAGTAGTAGTAGTCGTAATAGTAGTAGTAGTAGTAGTAGTAGTAGTCGTAGTAGTAGTGGTACTGGTTGCAGTAGTTGTTGTAGTAATGGGCGCAGTCGTAATATGAGTAGTAGTGATACTAGAAGTTACCAGAGCCAGAGTTACACCAATACGAATGCGGCAACTAATACTAACATTACTGCTACTGTCAAGAAGAAGCAGACGAATCAACCGGGTAAGCATGATCATGTCACTCAGAATATGATGCTAGTAGTGATTCAGGAATAATGAAAGTCATAATGCATATTGCACCCATATTAGTTATAAGTCGAATTATGTTGAACATGGTAAGGGTACGATTAATGATGACCTTATGCTTTATCATAAGACTATGATTGAGCGTCCCCGTGGTACCAATACTAGTAGCATCAATCTAACAATATAGTGCTACAAAAGTATTATTTTATCATATTAATTGTAATACCACTACGACGCAGAACGAATCAGAAGACGAGGAGGCAACATACGACAAATAGGCGGTTTCGGGAGAGGCCACCAGCGGCTCGCCCCAGAGCGGAGCAGGCAGTTCGTCGTCAGGCTCGACGGGATAGGCAACGAGGGGCTGGGCCTCGAGGTGGACATCGGGGACGACGTCACGGCGTCGATCACCAAGGTGGCTGCCCTACACGCGTGTTGCGCGCAGAGGACGCACAATTCGAGTAGGGGGTCGACTACGTACAGCATTGTCTCGCACCACTTGTCTCGCACCGTTTTTTCCCTAATCATCCTGTGGTGTCGGGTCCTCGTCCTGAAGAAAGCGCCCCGCGTCTCTTTTCCCCCTCGCTCCCCACACCAGTTTCGGCACATCCCTCACTCGTTTCGTGGCTCCATAGGGAGGTCCTCCGAAGGCCCCAGTGCCACCGCCCGCATGCGTCCCCAACACCCATGTCGGCACACCCCTCACACGTTTCGTGGCCCCATAGGGGGTTCTACCGAATGCCCAAGTTCCACCTTCCACATGCGCCCCCCGCACCCATTTTAGTAACCCCCCTCACACGTTTCGTGGCCCCACAGGGAGCACCCCTGATTGCCCCACCCCAGTGCCACCGCCCACATGCGTTCCCCACCAATTTTTGCACACCCCTCACAAGTTTCGTGGCCCCATCGGGAGCTCCTCCGAAGGCCCCAGCGGCACCGTCCACATGCGTTCCCCTTCACCTAATTCGCCCACCCGTCACACGTTTCGTGGCCCCATAGGGAGCTTCACCGAAGGCTCCATTGTCACCGTCCACGTGCGCCCCCCGCGTCCATGTCGGCACACCCCTCGCACGTTTCGTGGCCCCATAGGGAGCTTCACCGAAGGCCCCATTGCCACTGCCCGCATGCGTCCCCCACACCCTTGTCGGCACCCCCCTCACACGTTTCATGGCCCCATTGGGGGCTCCACCGAGGGCCCCAGTGCCACCGTCCACATGCGTCCCCGCACCCATGTCGCACACCTCTTGCACGTTTCGTGGCCGTGTAGGTGTGAATCAAGCTCACTCCCCAGGAACGTAAGAGGCCCGAGGGGGGTTCCACTAGAAGCCTCGAGGGCCCTGTGGCTTCATTCCTTGCCCTCACCGCCGCTGTTTTTGTTCGAATTGGGGCCCTTGGCCTTAGAGCTACGCCCCTCGCCGCGCGAGTAAGAAGATCACTCGCCAATCTTCCATATCACAGTGGTAGCTTGGAGCGAGTCTCAGCTGCCTGGCGCCGCGCGCCATTTCATATCCTGGCGCCGGCGCCATTTCATATCTAGCCACGACGAAGCCGTCACGAGCCACGGAATCGAAGCCCAGCGGCTTCCTCGCGCTGTTGCTCAGCGCCTACGCCAGCGTCAGCGACGCCAGCACCAGCGCCTACCCTGCCAACTCCTAGTCCAGCGTCAGCGACGCCAGCACCCACGCCTCCAACGCCTACTTCTCCCACGTCAGCGTCAGCGACGCCGACATCAACGCCTACTTCTCACGACCGCGTCAGCGACGCCGTCATCAACGACTATCTCGCCTACTACTCCCACGTCAGCGTCAGCGATGCCGACATCAACGCCTACTTCTCCTACGCCAGCGTCAGCGACGCAAGCATCAGCGCCTGCCTCCTCCTACGCCAGCGTCAGCGACGCAAGCATCAGCGCCTACCTCTCCAACGCCAGCGTCAGCGACGCCAGCATCAACGACTACTTCGCCTACTTCCCCAAGGCCAGCGTCAGCGACGCCAGCATCAACGCTTATTTTTCTTTCGACGCCAGTGTCAGCGACGCGGCTCACTATTTCATTCGTGACAAAATGACAGACAGCTCTACGTGCAGCGTCATCCCTGCTTGGAATGGCGATCCGCCAAAGTGCAGAGATTACAACCAGGAGGTTAAGCTCTGGAAGCTCAGTGAGAACCTCGCCGTGGCGCACGGTCTCGCATCGAAGCTCGTGCTGAAGCTAAGTGGGGCTGCCCGAGGTGCAGCGCTAGATATGGCGGAGGCTCAGCTGCGTCCAGCAGCCGCGGCGGACATCGAAGACCCCGATGACAGGAAGCGTAATGGGAATTCGGCCGGCATCGAGAATGTGCTACAGCACCTGGAGGCTAGCTTGGGTCAGCAGAAGCCCGTGCAGAAGGGCGAGACCCTGGGGAAGTTCTTCGAGTCGACTCAACATCACCGACGACGAGGTGAACGCGTGGCCGACTGGCTCATCCGTTTCGAGACTGGACTGCAGCAGCTACGCGAGAACGAGGTGGGCCACGACGCGCTGGGCGACGTGGCGGGATGGTTCCTGCTGCGCAAGGCTGGGCTCACGGCAGAGCGCCGCGAGCGTGTCGTGGGCAAACTGCCCGACGAGCACTGCGGGCGGCTGCCAGCGTATCCGCGGGCTGCTGGGCAGGATGTTCCCAGACATGCATGCGTCGGAGCGCCGCTTTCCCCCGCCGAGGTCATGGACCAATCGGTCGCGCTCGCAAGGCGGCTGGCGCAGCAATGTCCCCCCCGGCCGCGGGGGGCGCTCTACCAGCGTCGTCGACGAGCCAGGCGACGAGAACGGCGAAGAGCAAGAGGGGGGCGACGAGGACGAGGCCGACGTCCAGGGCGTCGTTCGCCAGGAGCTCGAGGCTTTCAGGGCCGAGCTCGAGTCCTCCAGCGTGGGCATCTCCGAGCTGTTCGACGGCGACGACTCTGTCGAGGCCGAAGCTGCCGCAACGGAACTTGCCGCTATTTCCCAGGCCACGGCCACCGTCAGATCGGCCCGGCAGGCCCTCGAGGGCCGCGGCAAGGCGAAGTCCGCGCCGAACCGCGGCCCGACCGAGCTACAGAGCCGGGTCGATCAGCGCAAGAGGAACGCGTCTTGCTGGGGCTGCGGCGAGACCGGACACTGGACAGGGGACAAGGAGTGTCCCACGCCAGGTGCTCGCGAGTTCGCGCCCAAGGATGGCAAGTCAAAGGGCGGTGGGCGAGGAGGTCGCGGAGGCCGTCCTCAGCGCCAGGCGCACATCGCCGAGCAGGTCCAGTTCGCGGACGAGGAGATCGCCCTGCACCCGCAGGGGCCAGTCGCGCCGCCCCCAGAGACTTGCGTCTCGGAGCGGCTCATCCACCACCTGCCGAACGTGAACGTCGCGTTCGGCAGTGACAAGCCCGTGGACGAAGGCGTCGGCGTGGTCGACAGCGCCTGCCTGTTCTGCGTCTCGGGCAGGAAGTGGTGCGACAACTACAAGGACATCCTCGCGAGGATGAGGCTTGCCAACCAGATCCTCGAGGAGCCGGAGGACGAGGTCTACGGGTTTGGCAACGGAGGTACTCTCCCAAGCAAGCTGCGCGTCACCGCGCCGCTTGTGCTGTGCGGCCAGGCTGCCCGCATCGTGTTCAGCGTCGTGGACAGCCCCGCGCTGGGTCTGCTCATCGGCCGCGACTTCATCCAGCTCTCCAAGATCGGCATTTTTCTTTGGAAGGGCCAGATCCGCATCGGGAACGCCGCCCAGGCGCTCACCACGAGCGCCGCGGGCCACCCCGCAATCAAGTTGCAGCCAGAGGACTGGCAGGCCATCAAGGGCGCTGGCATGGAGCAACCGCCCAGTGCGACCAGCTCGTCCAGAAGGAAGCGACAGCTGGACAAGACCCTATACGTGGAGGTCGAGAAGACGCTCGACCGACGGGATCGGAAGACGAGGACGGGCGACCAGCCCACGATCAACAACGCTACCAGGACCAGCACTCTGATCGACACCGTCAACAACCTCGTCACGAAGAAGGAGCTGAATGTTCCGAGACGTCTCCAGACTCGTCGACCGAAGGGGTCGCGGCTGCTTTTGGCCGTAGCCTCAGCCCTGGTTTGCTGCTCCACCGCAGCTCCAGCTTCGAACCTCGCGCTAGCGACGCTGCCACAGACGACCTGCCCCGCGACGTGCGTGTCCGAGCCCCTGCAGAACTGCGCCGCCTGTGGCGAGACGACCTTCGAGGCCTGCAGCCACCGAGGTTTCTGCTCGGACTGCGTTTTCGGCGCGCCCGTGCGGCCAGGGCGCCAGTGCCAACGGCTGCCTCGGACCCGAGGCCAACATCGTGGAGGAGGAGCAGCTACGCGTGAGGGCTCTCAAGAAGGGGACGAAGCCGCAGCTGATCGCTGGCAAGCGCTCAGTCTTCGTCACCGGCAAGAGCGGCATCCGGCCGCTCAAGATCGGCCAGGCCTTGGTTACTAACCTGGCCAAGTCTACAACCAGATCCAGCCCGACCTTCAAAGCGAACAGTACCGTGCCCTACGAGTGGTACTGCAACCCGGACAGCAAGCTCAGCGCCGTCTGGAAGAAGAAAGGAGGAGCTGGTGTCAGGTGTGGTCTTCCAGGCTTCGACCTCTCCAGGCAGTCTGTGGCCCAGAAGCTGGAGGGCAGGGTCCGGAAGCATCTTGCCGCAGGCAAGAGTGTGCGAGTTCACGCTGCGTTTCCTTGCCAGCCGTGGACATCGCTACAGCGACTCGTCGTCAACATCGACCCGAGCAAGATCCCCAAGTTAAAATGGATAGGGCCAAGTCCAAGCAGATGATCGGCCTGTTCCTGCAGTCAATGTCGCGCCTGCGCGCGGAGTTCGGCGCCCAGCTCGCCGTCTCGTTCGAGTGGCCGAGGTGCTGCGACGGATGGGATCCCAACAAGAAAGCCATTGCCAAGCAGCTGAAGGAGCAGCTCCCGCGCGTCGTAGAGTTCGACGGCTGCGCGTTCAACCTCAAGACAAAGAATGAGATCCACATCGAGAAGCCGTGGCGGATCAGCGCCGACGATTTCGGGTTCGACGACTCGCTCAGGCGCTCCTGCAGCGGGGGACTCCCGCGCGCAGAGGCCCGCGGGGAAGGGCGCGAAGCGCAGCGATAACTACGCGACCAAGCTCGTGACGGTGTGAGCCGAGCAGCTGCGACGTCCGAACCGCCGACCTGTACGAGAAACTCACCCTACATCGACGACGAGAAGGACAAGAAGAAGGACGGTTCCAGCTGCCGCAGCCGCTCAGGAGCCACCGCTCACGGCCGCGGAGGAGCGGACACTGCGGTTCGCCATCGTGCAGCTCCACGTGAACACGGGGCACCAGTCCAACGACTCATTTGCACGAGCCATTCGTGTGACTGGTGGATCGCAAAGGTCCATCGATATGGCTCTCATCCTCTAATGCGAGGT